GATCCAGTTTTAAAGAGGTTACTGGAATTTTGGACTTGGTGGGACAACAGCCTCAACCAGTGGAAGAAAAAGCAACTCTCATAAGGGAGATGCTTCTGTCTGTGAGTCTTTAGTCCTCCATACCCCCGTGATGCCCAGCGCAGAATGCCAAACAGACCATTGGCTTGTGCGCTGTAAACTCAACTTCAATCTCAAATTCAAACCCAAAAGGGGCAGTATCCCAAGGAGAAGACTCCAAGTTAACAATCTCTAATCAGCCACAGTAAGAGAGAGATTCCATGCTAACCTTCAAACTAGGCTCAAAAACCATTCCACAGATTCTGCAGATTCCTCCCCTGAGTCAATTTGGCACCATATTAAAAACAGCATCCTGCAATCCTCCGAAGAATCCTTAGGGTTCTCCCTCAAGAAGAACAAGGACTGGTTTGATGAAAACAATCAAGAAATCCAGGAATTGTTGAGGAAGAAGAGAATCACCCACCAAGCACACCTTGCACTGCCATCCTCTCACATAAGAAAAACAGCCTTTCGTCTTGCATGCAGCAAGCTCCAACAGAAACTCCGTGACATCCAGAACAAGTGGTGGATCGATCTAGCTGAAAAAACTCAACTATGCACAGATACAGGGGATCACAAAGGATTCTATGAGGCCCTGAAAACAGCATATGGGCCTACATATCAGGTACAAAGCCCTCTACTCAGTGCAGATGGTCAAACGCTTCTGACAGATAAAACCTCCATTCTGAATCGATGGTCTGAACGCTTTCAGACTCTTTTCAGTACCAACCGTGTAGTCCAAGACTCAGCAATTCAGTCCATCACACAACAACCGGTAAAGTATGAATTGGATACTGCCCCCACTTTAGGAGAAACTCTCAAGGCCATACAGCAGGTGAAAATCGGCAAGGCAGCTGGGGTTGATGGAATTCCACCCGAAGTCTGGAAACATGGGGGCCTTGCACTCCATGCCAAATTTCATGAGCTTGTGGTGCGCTGTTGGGAACTAGGCGAACTACCTTCAGACCTTCGTGATGCAGTCATCATCACCTTGTATAAGAAGAAAGGAATTAAATCAGATTGCTCAAATTACCGTGGTATTACTTTGCTCTCCATTGCTGGCAAAATCCTGGCAAGAATACTCTTGAACAGACTAATACCCGTTATAGCAGAAAAAATTCTAGCTGAAAGTCAGTGTGGTTTCAGAGCCAACAGGAGTACCACAGACATGATATTTGTTCTCAGACAACTGCAAGAGAAGTGTAGAGAACGGAACAAAGGTCTTTATGTAACCTTTGTTGACCTCACCAAGGCTTTCGATACTGTGAGCAGAAAAGGTCTGTGGCAGATTTTGGAACGTTTAGGTTGTCCCCCAAGTTCCTTAAAATGATCATCTCACTCCATGAGGATCAGCATGGCCAAGTCAGATATGGCAACACACTTTCTGACCCCTTTCTAATAATCAGTGGTGTGAAACAAGGCTGCGTTCTCGCTCCTACCCTATTCACAGTCTTTTTCAGCATGATGCTCCAAAGGGCCACGGCAGACCTCGGTGAGCAGGATGGTATCTACATTTTATAACGTACTGATGGAAGCCTATTCAACCTAAGGACACTGAAGGCCCACACCAAGACCTTAAACCATCTTGTCCGGGAGCTGCTTTACGCTGATGACGCCGCCCCTGTTGCCCACACAGAAGCAGCCCTGCAACGTTTAACATCCTGCTTTGCAGACGCTGCTGAGCTTTTTGGGCTGGAAGTCAGCTTAAAGAAGACAGAAGTTCTCCATCAACCTGCACCTCAGGAAGTCTCCCATCATCCCTACATCACCATCGGCCAATCAGAGGTCAAATCAGTCCAGCAGTTTAATTACCTAGGCAGCCTCATCTCCTTGGATGGTAAGATTGACGGGGAGATAGACAACAGGTTAGCAAAGGCATATAGAGCTTTCGGAAAGCTTCATAAGAGAGTATGGCGAAATAAACACCTGAAGAAAAGTACAAAGATCAGTGTTTACAGAGCCATTGTGCTGTCTACTCTCTTATACAGATCCGAATCATGGGTCATCTACCGCCAGCACCTGTGTCTCCTAGAACACTTCCATCAACGCTGCCTCCATACAATCCTAAACATCCACTGGTCAGATTATGTGACCAATACATCAGTTATGGAACAAGCAGCAGTCACACGTATTGAGGCCATGCTACTGAGAACACAGCTGCACTGGGCAGGGCACGTCTCCAGGATGAAGGACCACCGCCTCCCTAAGATCCTGCTTTATGGTGAACTTGCCACCAGCTGCTGCAAGAGAGGAGCCCCGAAGAAAAGATACAAGGACTCCCTGAAACAACATCTCACCCTTGGCCACATTGACCACCATAACTGGTGTACTCTGGCCTCCAATCGGGAGGCCTGGAGACACACCATCTATAATGCTGCTGATGCTTTTGAGAAAGCACACAGGCTCACCCTTGAGGAGAAAAGACAACGCAGAAAGAATCGTGCCTTGCAGAATATACCATCTAAGGAGTCTTTCTGCTGTGTCTTTTGCAACCGGACATGCCTTTCTTGTATTGGCCTTTTTAGCCACCAGCGGGCTTGTAACAAACATGGGTAGAGCCCTTCCCAAATCTTCATTCGCGAAGCCTGGCCATGATGAGTGAGTCTTTAGTTCAGAACAGAAGTGGGACTAATAAGTAATCTCCCAACTCCCTGTTTGATGGGGTTAATAGTGGGTCTATTAGCTCCCAGGATGGAGATATCAACTGGGAAAAGTTTCGGGTGTATCCTTGATGATAAGAAAGTCAGTACGCAGCCCTAATGGAGAAAACAAAGGCAGGCTGTAAAGTTGGTAGGCCTAGGATGTGGGAACTGCAATAAGGCCTTGAGCTTTGCCAAATGTATTGCCCATAGATCCTAGCCAATGTAAACGCTGTTGCTTGCTTACCTAAAATAAGGATACTGCTTGCTGCTAGCAAGGGCATGAGAAAATAAAGTAAGAAGACATCTTTCCTGCACATAACTGACTCCTTGTATCTTTATCGGCCGTCACGACTCTACACTGACACCTGTTCTTATGTTTTAGGAAAAACAAGGAAGAATACAAGTATGCTTTTTTCCATGGGTTTAATGCAACTGTAAGTGTGTGACTGGATCTTTTTCAACATTTATTTTTCCTCAAGAAAATACATGGGACACTGCTGCTATGATTTCACCAGCCACTTCTGCTATACTTCTGCATCAAGCACAGAAACTAAATTAGTAATGTATTTGCTAAACTGGACCATACTTTTCTCTCTGGCTGCTGCAGCGTGCCTTCTTCAGGTAAAATAAGCTGCCTTTAAACAAAAAGTAAAACTTGAAATATGAGCTGGGCCAGGTCACTGTGGTGACCTGTGTGCATATAACATGCAGCTTCATTTGAATAATTGCTTTTCTAGTTGCCACTTAATTCCATGTCATCCTAATTTTTTGCTTCACAAAACAAACCCAATAATAGTACTTGCTAAGAATAACACTTCTTTCATGGGCCAGCTTTCTGGGGCATCTCCCAAAGAAGCAAAAGGAGTAACGGTTCTGAAGAAAGCTTACCTGAAGCAAAGGTATAGGCATTAAAACCCTGTCTGACAGTGTCCTCATCCAGCTGGATCTGCTTTATTTCTGTGCCCAGCAGGTTCTCTTTTAACCTGGAACTCTGCTAAAGCGCAAGTTCAGTCTTCTACTCACATAGTTAAGTTACCTTTGGGAAGAGGGTTTATTAAAAAGAAAAGCACTACAGGTTTTAGGCTATCACAGAGTTTGTGATATCCATGTATTCAGTCTTGTATAGTTTTCTCTGGAAGAGAAGCACTTATTCATGGCCAAATGTGACCAACCTCTGACCTTATAATGAGTATAGATCCGCAGGTTTATGATTTTCCTACATGTCTTGCTTTGAAAGTAGTTTTATGTCAGAATGAGGCTATTATTGCTTTATATAGTTAGTTGATTTTTATATCCCCATGAAATTGACAGTTACAAAGAATATTGTTAAATAACATGCTTTCAGCTAGACTGGTCTACAGATAGAATAAAGAAGATAACAGATTTGGCTTTGTGTACTAGGCTTTTTTTCTCCCACAGAGCACACACAACATCAAATAAGTTCATGTCTGATGGTAAACACACATAATACCTTGAACTTTGAGTGACAAATTATTAGCCTTCCTGCTATGTCTTCGTTTTTGTTTTCAGTTCCTGCAGAGTTTGGAAAACAAAGCACAAGATGGCATTGCCATCTACATACATTTCTAAAAAATTAAAGGGGCTTTGTATCAAATTCTAGTTCTAGCAGCATTTGCTAGTAAAATTTTGTGTAATTATTTAAAATAAGTCTATCTACATAACTGTGTCTTCTGAGAGTAAAGAATTGTTGAAGAAATTTGGCATAAAATCAAGGGGAAATAGATAATATCATCCAGGAATAAGGTCTAGTCTTTACACTCCAAATTCAGTTTGGTCACCACAGTAAGCTCTGTATTAATTTTTTTTAAGAGATGCCTTAGTCATAGTGCTACCATGAGAGATCAGGGTTTCCATACACTCTGCTAAATCTACCTGTCAAGCTGAAAATTCTGCAGCTTTAAAATAATGCTATTTTTTATGCAAGACGAGTTCCTGGTTCCTAAAACTTGTCTGAGGAATCTCATTCATTAAGTATGCAAAGTTGTCCTTACAAAAGTAAGTCTTAGAGTTAAATTCAACTTGGTGTAAATGAAGAGTGAATTGTTTGAGTTGGAATTCACACCAGCAGAACATGCACTTCACTGAAGATTGTGGTGCCCGATTTGTTGCTTCTGCATGGAAAAAGTACTTTTTTTTTTTTTAATCCTGAGTGCTATGTACCATAATACTTTTGATAGGAAGATTACTGCAATTTGTGTAATTTCTCTCTTTTCCACATGCTGAATTTTTTACTGAAGAATGTTCCTATCCAACCTTCCCTGCCAAACAGAAAATAGAAGATATTTTTCTAATCACTTTACAGCATTTAAATAATATATAAGTTTGTAGAACTCATTACAGACAAAATTTAATAATCCAAATATTGGTATAATGGACCTGCAGCTAAAATTGAGGGAATGCCATTGCTGTACTTTTGGAAACAATGCAATATTGGTTACTGTCTAGCTACCTAAAGAAATAATACTGTAGGAATATGAAATTATAAAAACAAAGCACTTTTAAAACCTGTTGTGCATTGTTAATTGTCACCGTTTAATACTTTAAACAATAAAAAGAGATGATGCAAGAATTAACACAAATTTGTAGAATCCATACAGTACCTGCTAAATAAACAAGTTTGGCAGTTTAGCAAATATCATACGATTGCAGCATCCATGATTTGGATTGAAACAGTAGTTCAATCCTCTGCAAAGAATTTGGAGATGGGAATAGCACACTCCTGGGCTCTGGGCAGTGTCTGAGTTTAAGGAAAATATTCTTAGTGCCTGGCCCGTGTGCAGAACTGCCCAAATCAAACTATTGTCTCCTTTGAGTTCCTTTTGAGGGGCTGTAGGCCCAGCAGGGACTGCTGCTTGTGGGGCACCAGGGCAGACTTTGGGGTGAGCAGAATCACCCTCTGATTGGTCTGACGCCATTCGATGTAGAGCCTGCAGTAATACCTGAAGGACACCTGGGGAGAGAACAGAGATGGGTTCAGTCACTGTGCTCCTCCAAGGATTCAATGGGACTTAGGAGGAAGTGCCTTTGGGCATAACAAAAAATAAGCAGCCTAAGAGGCAAAAAGTGGTGAAAAGATGAGAACTACCCTGTAGGTGACTCGTGCCCCAAGTTGCCACAGCAGAGAAGGAAAGCAGCCTGTGCCTCACTTTCTTCTGTTGCCTACCTGTCCTTCCCCTTTTTCATAATATGAAAAAATCAGACATCCTGCCTCTGTCTTTCCCAAGAACTAGAGTTGTTGACAGACACAGTGAGAATAAGTTTAGGATGCTTTCATGCTGTGGTTTAAAGTGACAAACAGTGCAATTGGATGGATGGTGAAGGCCTGCAGGCACCTAAACTCTGTGCAGGGTCGTATGTTCTACCTTGTAATGCTTTATTGCTGAATGTATCAAAGTCAGGATTGCACAGAGGCAGCAAGATCAGTGTGAGCCATCTGACAATGTGTGTATCTCAATTTCTATTGTCTCTGAAGCTTTTTTATCAGCCAACCAATTTCAACCTTATTGTGGAAGAGAAACGCCTGACTGCTACAGATGCAAGATAGCTTGGCCCCATGTTTTTAAAAAGTAGTTTATTACTTATTTTAGTGACAGCCAGGTGTTGTGGGAGTTGTATTTGTGTGAGATGATGTACATGTGCAGTTTGAAAAAAAAACAACAAATAAACAAATTGTAAATTGGGTTGGGACCTTTGGGATGAAGTGTTCTTGAACTGTGGGCAGAAGGGACCCATGCAGTGAATGTATCCTTTCCTTGTTGCAAAAAGGTACTTTTAACTAAATAAATTGACCATTCAAAAACATCCTACAAGGGCTAAAAAAATATTTTGTTTTTGTTTTTTTTTAATTACACCTTTATACAGCTGTGTGCTGTTAATGAGGGAAACCTATAAAGCTTTTGTTTACTAAGCAGTTTGCCAAAGGCAGCTCTTCAAACAGATGAATTGATTTCTCACCTTTCATTCCCCTCTAGTCCCCCTGAAGGTAAAGCATCCTGCTTCTCCTTTCTGTGGAGCCTTGTATATGAAAGGAGAAATCTCTTGTAAAAAGACACTTCGTGTGGTGTATCAAGGAAGGTAAAAACACCCAATCATCTGCAAAGGTGGATGCCATGCAAAAGACAGTGACTGCTTCAGGAGAGTGAAGCCACAGTTTAGGCTGAATTTTCAAGTAGCATCACATGAGATTCTTTGAGTAAAGGTTGCATTGTTAAGCCAGGCTTTAACTGCTGAGTTATCACAAGATACCCTAGTTAAGTTTTTTTACAGAGGGTTCTTGCCTGGGGCAGTTTCCAAGTGATGTCAGCTACTGAATTTCAGCAGAGTCCCAGTTACTCACCCTAAATTGTTACACTGGATGAGAAACTTTTCAGATTCTGAAAGAAAGACTAGATTTTCTTGGATCCTTGACATGTTAAACTCCCTTCTTAGTCTCTTCAGTAAGACAGCAAGGGGGGTGTCTATGAGAAATAAAATAATCTGGTTTTATTATAAGTAAATTTATGTAA